TCCCCTGCCCCCCACTCTCTGTTTTTTTTGAGACACAGTTTCTCTGTGTAGCCCTGGCTTTCCTGGAATTTGGGCCTCAAACTGAGAGATCACCTGTCTCTCTGCCTCTGGGTGCTGTAAAGCCATCACAGCTGACATTTCTTCCTAACCCTAACCTTTGACCCTGAACTTTAAGACTTTTCACAATTCCTACCAGTTCTTACCTTTAATCTTCTCCTGTTCATTCGGACATACCAGTTGGTCAGAATATCTACAAACTTGACCAGGCGAGGTACCACAGTGTAGAGCCTGTAAGCTAAAAGCAAGAAATTAGTCAGGCAGCCCAAGTAAGGCCTTCATTCAAGGGTACTCCACTCCCTAAAGGAACAATGAGAATCAGAATCAACCAATCAGATGGCTCATATATCCCGAATACATGACATGGCAATCAAAGTGTTTAGTGGCACCCAAAAATGACAATGAGCTACAAGCAAACCCACAAAGGTGAAAAAAACTGAACCCCTATTCAACATAACTACCTTATACGGAGTGCACAAAAATGTGGGATAGACCCCAGCTCCACACCACTGCGCCGCCTCCTACCTCAACTAGAAAGTAGGAGAAAGCAAGCCTTAGATGCTTCATTTGCCCAGAAGAAGATACCTGGCAAAGCCTGAGGAGATATTCTCATGGTGTAAATAAATACACAGAGTGCTGACACCACTCTTTCTACTGGGCGACACAGGCTCAGCATCTTCCGATGCACAGCACAGCCCCCACTGAAAAGGATCCACCCAGACTGCTGACAGCCCCACTGTTGCACTGGGAGAAGATGCTGAGGGCAGAGCTGCTCTTACTGCAGTTCATAGAAAACGGAACTCAGGCCACAGCCATTAGCTGGTCAAACACTTCTACATAGGTGGTCTCAGCAACTGGGGCTTTTTCTGTTGAACAGGAAAAGCCAGTCCACATCATGTCTAGAGCTCCCCACACTTCCCTTTCAGGGAAGCCTGAAATTTCCGTGTTCGGGTTTTCACCTCCTACAGAGTAAGTGACCCTCACATTTACAGAGACGACAAAGCTCTGGGGCAGCAGCTCTTCCTGAGAGAGCCACAAGAACTGGCGGCCCCCATGCCACCCTGTAGACACATTTTCTCATCATCTTGCTGATGGCGATTCTGTGGGTATGCAGGTGAACAAAGCCGGGACTTACCTGGGCCAGGAGTTATCCTCTCTGTGTGTGACGAGTCTCCCACCATGACCCTCATACAGACACTGAGCTATCTAGTTCCTAGGCAGACTGGGTTCTGTCCTAGGTATATGATATCTAGACTCAGCTTCATGGGAAGTCATGGCAGCTAGTGCTGGAAGATGGCAGGGTTCTCAGACAGTCCTCTGCACAAGAATGGGTGTGTACTTCCCCGGGCAAACATTATCCAGAGCCCTGAAACAAACTCCTTTCTACAACTAATGAAACCACCACACTGTACTTCTGGGTTAACTCTCAAAACCTCCTCTATGTTAATAAGAGAAAACCATTTAAAATACCAAAAGAACAACTATAAAGAGAATGACCAGTCCTCATCCCTGGGACGACAGCATAGGAAGACTCACCTGCCATTTCTGTCTCAAAGAACCCAATGAGGGACTGCATGAAGGACAGAATCCACCGGTCGGTGATGTTAGGGCTTTCTCGGACCGTGTGCTCATTGTACAGGAACTCCACTCCTTCTTCCTACAGACAGACACCCAGTGAGATGTTCACATGCACAAAGCCTGAACTAATACTGGAGAAAAATAACTTTAATGTTGTATAGTAAGTGTGCGTGTGTGTCAGGAGAGGGCACCGAGTCCTTGGAGCTCGAGTTATAGGCAGATGTGAGCCATGTGATATGGGTGCTGGCTGGGAACCCACTCTTGCCTGCTAAGTCATCTCTTCAGGCCTACCAAAAGCTCTCCATCAGTAAAACAAAAGGAAAATAATGAAAGACAAAACGATCCTAGATCCCAGTAGCAAGCCAGCAACATTAAGGATGAGCACTACCAAATCTCAATGAATCATGATTTAAAGTAGAAAGAAGAGCCCTTAGGGTTGGATTACTGTAAACCTATGGAAGGAGGCAGTAAAACCTTCTAGAACTGAGCGATCCTTCACAAACTGAAACAAGCACAGGGAAACTGCTCCCAGGCTAAGCTGTATGATTTACCTGGAATCCTTTATGTCTCCTTTTGCTTTTCAAGAGCTCTGCATGATCCTGAAGGCATCTCACCTGCTCCTGTCTGCAAACTGAACTTCCTGCCAGCAGCGGCACACTGGCAGAGCAACAGTAAGGACCACCCGCCTGGGTTTGAGCACCTCATGGTGGGCAATGGTGAGGACCACCCGCCTGGGTTTGAGCACCTCATAGTGTGTGCAGCCCTGCTCTGTACAGATGGGCTTCTCTGTGGTCAGGCTTGAGTTCCACACCAACAGAGGTCTGCTGAGCATGCGAGCTTCCGCAATGCTATCCCCACATGGCCCCACATACAGAAAAGCTGGCATAACTACAAAAAGAGGAATGTTGAAACCCAGAGAAAGATGCCCGCCTTCTAAATTTCCAGGGAACCGTGTACCCGGAAGTCCTATGTGAACACTACTTCTGTCTTGTTCTCAGCAGAAGGAAGAGCTAAGTTGAATCCAGAAGCAGGAGAAGAAAGTGAATGGGCCACTGTCCCGCTTGCTAGCTTACAGGCTGCTCCAGGGTCACTGAGCCGTAAGTTTGCAGTTGTTTACTGATAGGAGCTGCAGTAAAAAGCTAAGCACAACAGGCTCCACCATAGACACGCAGGCAATATGCTAACTCCTGCTAGTGATGAAGATGCTGGGCACTGGAAGTAGTCAGTCTGGGGTTGGAAGCGGTGGCTGCAGACCAAGAGCCTCGCAGGAGAGATGGGAAGACCAATCGAAGGCACGGGTTCACATATATCCCAGCTACAATTCTTAATCCTAGCAACTCAGTCAGAGCTGTTGACCTCTCTATTCTCAGCCCAATGCTTCCTCATACAAGTCTTCCCTGACCACACTCAAACCTACAGCACAACCCCAGGGTCCGTCCCTGCTCTGTCAGATAAAAACTCTTGTCAGTAGCTTACTCTTATATTGTCTGTAATTCCATACCCTGCCAGTTCCTTGAATAGAGAAGAATTACATTCAACGTGAAATCTCCGACACAAAGAACTGGCTGACCAAACTATTATATGCCCCTTTACACAGAGGAGGCCATTCCTACAGAGAACCGGACACCCTCTGCATCATCATGTAAGGCTTCCTCACGGCTCTGGGTTACCCAACAACAGCAGATGGCACAAGAAAGCCTCCAGGTCCCACACAGGCCCACCTCATGGCTCAGCACACACGACCAATGCTGTCCATACCTTGTGGAGCCTAAAGACGTTCTGGATGAAGAAGCGGTAAGCGTTGTACCACGGGAGCAGCACATCCTTGAGGACATCGCGCACACCTTCCTCCTTGAAGCGCAGGTTTTCTGCTCTTACCACAGGAGAATTGATCAGGTACAACCTGATAGAAGCAGAAAAGTTACACAGACAGTAAACCAAGTATTACTACTTTGATGAAGCAAACATTCCAGTTCCTCTTTAGATCATGTAAGTCTTTCTCCTTTGACTAAAGATGAAGAAGGCCAGGTCAAACTCTGCTTTCCTCTGCAGAGGAACAGAGCTTATACACTGGCACCCCCACCACAGGTGTACACAGGTTCATGAGGAGATCTGCTACACTCTGAAGGAGCACCCTCACTGTGGAGAATGGCCCAGCCCAAACAAACAGATGAATGGGTGGAGGGTCAGCCTTTGTTTCCGGGCCACAGGGAATTGTGTGAAGGTGCACAGCATGGGCCTAGGTGTGGGTTTTACCTATGACATGGAGATACTGAACAAACTCTCTAGGCCTTTGCAACCTAAACAGGATCTAAAACCTCCTGTATTAGTTTATTTGTTCTGGGGAGAGAGAGAGAGAGAGAGAGAGAGGGAGAGAAAGGGAGAGAAAGGGAGAGAGAGAGAGAGAGAGAGAGAGAGAGAGAGAGAGAGAGACACACCTAATACCAACAAGATGAGGAACCTAGAAAGGAGCTGAGGTAGAGACAATATGCAAATATGCACCCATCCAGGAGGTCATGGATGGCTTGTGGCATCTGGGACAGTTTCTAGTCCTCTAAGACTTCTAGATTTGAAAAACACCAACTATAAAAGCCAAACTCCCCATACAGAGACCCAACAGTTAAAGCATAATTACACAGCACTCGGAGGATGATTACATGAGATACACCCGAGCAAAGGGCTGCTTCATACCTGAGGGCGTCGGCCCCATACTTATTGATGATGGAAACTGGATCTGGGTAGTTCTTTTTCCGCTTGCTCATTTTTTGGCCATCACTTGTAAAACAAAAAGTAGATTAACAATTAAGTGAGTAAATACAGTTGATCTTATATACAGAGGTACACTGCAGGCAAACACACAAACACAAATGGAAGGGGGACAAGTACGTGCTGGTGAAAGTCACGATGGCGGGGTGATTTGTTTTTATTTGTTAGGCCTTTTATATTCAAGTTATTTTTGTGACTGTGTATTCACATGTGCTTGATGTCTGTGTGTGTATGGGTCATAGCACTCAAGCAGAGATCAGACAGTTTCGTGGGGTCTGTTCTCTCCTTCCATCTTTATGTGGCTTCCAGGGATCCAAGTTAGTCAAGTTGCTGAGCTTGCACAGAAAGTGCTGACACCCACTAAATCACCTAATAAAGTCTTTTAATACCATGGTACCGCTACATCTTTAAGGGAGTTCCAAGGTTGGCGGGAGCAGTTTCTGCTGTGACTCCCCTCAGTGAGACTGTGACTGACCATGGAGTACCTGAGAGGTGTAAGATGAAATGAAATCTTCCCTCAAGCAGTTTTCAGTCATGGCGATATATCACAGCAAGAGACACACACACAGTAGTTTGGCATCCCAGTACACAACAGTAAAAACTGTTACTTGTGCAAATCAGAAGCTGGTACCAACTAAACAGTGACAATTTTGCCAAAAACATGCTCTTCTGTGGCTGAGCAGGAAGAAGATTGCCACAGCAGACAGGTCCCAGGAACACATGGAATATTATTATTTTTACTGACTGAATAGGGTTAACGCAGCAAAGAAATTCTGACACTAATACAACTAAGAAATAATTCTCCATAGGAGACAAAAACACTGGGAGGAGTCTAGTGTGGTCCTGTGTCTCTGCTCCTGGAAGTCACAGGGTCTCTGAAATCCAGAGTTTCCTCATATATTACAAAGAGGACATTAAAAATCTGAGTCAGGAGTGAAACACAATGAGACATGACCGCCAATGGATCTTACGAGATGCTCGGCTAAGTCAACTTTAACTGTTGCTAGTGACGTCACTGGAAGCACTGTGTTACTACTAACACTGTCTGGTGTGTGCCTTGCTCTGTCTGCAGGAGGCCTGGCCCACAATGGAGTCTTCCTACTTAAGACACATGGAGCCATGCAGAGATGGACAGGGCAAGTGTATCAAAAACAGGAGTGTAGAGTGCACAGATGTCCGTACCCTCTCCTGTACTTCAAGGTCTCAGTAGTCAGATAAACGCTAGGGAAACCAAGAAGGTTTAAGGACACAGAATGACGTGTGTCTACTAGGGAAGAATGCGTACACCGCTTTCCCACCCAGGCTGCGAGTAGATGAATTACAAGCTTGGTGATCTGGGCAGTGTGTGGTAGGGCCAGACCACACCTGAATTCCCCAGACTATTATGTTTATCCCAGACTCTTCACAAAGAAGAGAACCTACCCTCAGGGGAGATGTCACGAGTACTTTGTAGCCTGGTGACCTCTAGGCTGTCTGTAAGACCCAGACAATAACTACCAGATCCTAGGCCCTTAAGCTATAAAACCACTCTTCCAGGTAGAGGTCACACGTACTTCCTGGTAAAGCCCACGTGTACTTTGCAAACCGGTTTACAAGCAGCCAGCTTTAAGCACTAGAGGTGGCTGTCACCAGAAAACTTTCTTCCAAAATTGTACTTTAAATGTCTAAAACAAACTGCCCGCTGTCAGATTCTAGATGTTTGCAACACACCAGTGGTGTGTTGAGCCAGGCTCCCTTCTTGCCTCACATGGACTGTCCCTCTGCATTGGCAGAGGACTCCGCACAGGGGCACAGGCAGAACATGGAACCACAGGGCACACCTCAGCACTTGGGAGGCTAAGACGGGAGGAAGTAAACCTGCCAAGACAGCTCTGCCCAGGAAAATAAAACAAAGCTATACTAAAGGGAGTGTAAGAAGTCTGCAACAGGTATACAGGGCTGGAAAACAGGGGTGGTTCTCTGAGTTCAAGACTAGCTTAGTCCACAAGATTAAGTTCTAAGGCAGCTGGGGCTGCATGGTGAGACCCTATCTCAACAGCAAACACCAGCTTGAGATTAGAAGGCAAGGGGCCTTGGAGATCAAGGTTGGCAGTGCTAAGTCCCTCTCTTTACAGAGAAAATGTGGTGAGGGCCAGTCAGAACATGGTTGTTTTGAAGAAATTTCAGGGACAGAATAAAGAGTGCAGGAGCGTATAAGTCATCGCTACAGAGAGGGGTGGGTGTACCTGCCTTGCCAAGATGAGGCCGTTCACAATCACATTCTTGAAAGGTGGTTGTCCAAAGAGGGCAGTGGCTAGCACAAGCAGAGTATAAAACCTAAGGGGGGTTGGGGGGGACAAAAACAAGCCAGAATAATTCATTAAAGGTAGAAAAGTAATCTAAGCACAGGAAAATGTACATTTATTCACTAGACTGAACCTTTAGCTTTGATTCATTACACGTCTTTCATATTTTTTTCTCACGGGGTATGTGGAGGTCAGAGGACAACATGTGAGCACTGAGTCTTTCCTTCCACCATGCGGGTCCTTAAGTTCCAACTCAGGTTATCCGACTTGGTGGTAACTGCATCTACTCACTGGGCTACCTGGCCAAGCCTGTATTATACATCTTGATAATCATGTAATCATGTAATCATGCAGAAGCATCATGCCCATGACAGATCACTCAAAGTTAAGAGTCTGTTTGGCAAAACAAAATTTTCTTAAAACAAAAGCTTGCATCGAGGAACTGTAGGCAACATTCTAAGGCATGCCCAGGACTACCAGAGCCACTAGCTGAGAGGTGTCATGTTTCCTGTGAGATCCTGTGGGATCCTGAGAGACAGACTACGTGATAACAAAAGACAAAAAGCACTCAGAACCAGGAAACAACTTCCACTCTGCAGGGTCAGACGCTCACAGCCTGTCACTGTGAAGGAGATACTCTTACATCATGGACTCGCTTCCTATACCAGAGAGGAGATGTTCTTGTGCCATCTTGACTTGCTCCTGCAGTACTTCAAGAACATCAAGGAATGCAAACTGAAAAAGACCAGAGCCTAGACCAAATACACTGATACAAATATCTATCCAAACATCCCTTTCTGTTCCACAGGAGACCTGGTGTCCTGCAGGCAGCTCAGGCAACAAGAGGGACTAGGAAGCAGATAAGACAAGTGACCGATAGGGGAGTTTACCAAAGGCCAGACTTCACTTCCCCTGGAGAAACACGCTTAGGTATTAGTGAGTAAGTTGGCCCTCCTTAGAACACGGGAATTTGTGGGGCTGGAGAGGTAACATGGATAGTTAACACACCCAGCTACTTCAGAGATCAGAATTCAATTCCCAGCACCCACATCACATGGCTCACAGCAGCCTGTAATTCTAATTCCAGAAAGTCAGATAGTCATCTGGCCTTGGCACTAAACTTAAGTGCAAAAAACCAGGAGTGTGTATACACATATACATGCATTTAAAAAAAAACATTAAACAGCCGGGCGGTGGTGGCGCACGCTTTTAATCCCAGCACTTGGGAGGCAGAGGCAGGCGGATTTCTGAGTTGGAGAGTTCGAGGCCAGCCTGGTTTACAGAGTGAGTTCCAGGACAGCCAGGGCTACACAGAGAAACCCTGTCTTGAAAAAACAAAACAAAACAAAACAAAAAAAATAAACAACAACAAAACCCTGAGAAATGTGTTCCTGGAGGACCATCTAACAGATTCAAATGGACAGAGCAGAGGACCACAGCGGCAGTTCTCTAAGTGCAGCCCTGCGGCACCGTCAGCCACGAATGCACTAAGTGAGTGTCGGGCCACAAAGCCTGCGCATGAGAAGATGAGAGACCTTTGCCCAGTGAGCATGACAGTGTGGCTTCAAACAGAGCACTGGCTACGTGAAACTAATACCAAGACCTCTCCACACACCTGGGTTGTTCTCAGAATGTGAACACATAAAAGCTAGACTTGAAACTCATGTTTGGTAAAGCAAAACAAACAGAAACACCCAAAGAAAGACGGGGCACACATCCGTGAGTAACATACCATCCTCTGGTTTGATCGATGCCTTCGGCAATGAAGTCGGCAGGAAAGGCATCCTCAAACTCGCGCTTGCTCTCGAACGGATAATGAACCTGGGCATAGGGCATACTTCCACTCTCGAACCAGCAGTCAAACACCTCAGAGACGCGACGCAACGGTCCTTTCCCGCATCGGGATGGGATGGTCAGGTGGTCGATGCTGACAAACAGAAAAGTTGCCGCCTCTATTCACTGTGAAGAACTTAACAGTCTAAGTGCCAATCGGACAGCATTACATTTATGTGTCACGCTGCAGTCCTTTGGTGGATGAGAGGCTACATGTACAGTGGTGGTCCTATAAGGTTATAAGGGAGCTGAAGTTTTTCTTTTGACTAGTGACATCATATGGGGGTAATGTGACATAATGCTTTACTTATTTATATGTTCCTGATGACGGGATGCAAACAAATCTGTGCAGCAAGAAGAAAGGCACAGCACATGAGAATACGCATGGCTCACAGGGGTTAGCGGTGACGATAAGTAACTACGCAGTCAGTGTATGTATTGACCATACCTTTTTTTTCTAGTTCTGAGGTAGAGCCTCATAAATCAGGCTGGCCTTAACTTGCTATGTAGCTGTGAATGGCTCTGAACTCTTTGCTCCTGGCACTGCCTCCTGAGTGTTGATTTCAGCACTCATGCCTGGCTTTTACTTTACGTGCGGGGTGTATACTTATTCTTACTGTAAAACTGTTAGCCATGCTCTGCTACCAACACCCGTTTACATTCTCATCTAAGTATCCTGACGGTAAGAACAGGCCAGAGTGATGAACCTATCTATACTATCAGGGTTTGTGAAAGCTCACTCCAGAGTATTTGTTCAGTGAATGGACTTCTCTAACGATGCACTTCTCTGAGCACACACTAGTGGAAAAGTACATATGCAAAAACAAAACAAAATAAACTGTGACCTGGAGGGGTGGCAGGTGGATCTCTGTTCAGCATGGCCTATGAAGTGACTTCTATGACAGCAAGACCTACTATACTGTGAAACTTTGTCTAAAAAATAGAACAGTTGCCCCCAAAGGCTGAGACCACCAGGGGCCCTCAATCTGAAAAGCGATGTATCAAAGAAAGTTATGTGACATTTGAAGTAAGCAGGGAGGGTGGATCACACAGACCAACATGACTCATCAGCCAAGTAGCTAGCTGACCAGTGCTTTCCGGGTACAGATCTGTGACTCCCAGGATGACAGCATGGCAGTGAGTGAGGTGTTGGGGAACTGACCTCTCTCTGTGGAGATCTGAGACTTTTGTTCCTGACAATTCTTCAAGCTCTGCCACTGATCCAACACACACTACCTGTAAAAACGAAGACAACAGGAACTCCTCAGAGCCAAGGAGACTGTGCTGAGGTCATTTAGGCAGCCTGCTGTTTGGCTGTAGAAACCTGATTATCTTTACAAGCGGGTTAACGGAGCACTCTGAGCTGCAGGGCAGTGGGTGCCGACAGGGCTCATCTCTCGGGCAAGACCTCCGGCTCCAAAGAAGCCAGTCCTGACTGTGTTCCCTCTGCAGGTCTGCAGCACAGGCCCTAAACCCACAGCCATCACCTCAACAGACATTTCTGAGGATTTATCACAATCAATCTCTGCCTAGAATAAATAAAATGTCCTAGACTATGACCCAGTGGCACCTTACTTTCTTCCTTGTGCCTGGATCTTGCTATTTCAT